GTAAATGTACTTAGCTACTATACTGTACACCTCTGCTGAAAACAGCTGGGTGAAGATAACTAAAATGTCAACTTATCATTTTTCCACTCATTTCTTAGCACTACCTCACTACAGACTGTTTATCGTTAGAGTGAAAGAAAAAAAAAAACGTCAAGAGGATTTATTTCCTGTGATGATGACTTACTTGTACTTGAGCTCTCGAGTGAGTTCATCCTGCGTCTCTTCGAGCTCCTGTCTGGCTATGATGTGTTCATCAATGATGTCATTCATGTCTCCCCTCAACATCTGGACTTTAGCGTACAGCTAGAAGCAGAGGTTCAAGAAAATAAGACTATTGCAGCGGATGGCTGTAATCTGAGTGTAACAATGTAAAAGAATTATAATAAAAGCAAACCAATGTTGGAGAGAATGTGGTCACATTAATCCTACAAGTCCTTTGGTCATGTGAAAAATTACTAAAGTTTTGGTTGGAAGTTGTCTGGCTAATAGACGGACTTCTTTTGGACTTCGTTGTAAGGTTTCTAGGGATCTACGTGTTTTAAACTTTGGCCGTTTCCAGAAGGTATGATCAAAAAAAGAGGACATTTATATCTTTAAAATAATGATGGTGGCTGTGAAGAAAGTTATCACAAAAAAAAACTGCCTGAAAAGAGAGTCACCATTATTTTATTATAAAGGTTTGACCAAAATAGCTACAACTCCRTCATTTCTCAACAAACTGTTATCTTAGTTTAAAACTTAGTAGTTGATTCCCTCAAGTAATTGCAGATCTTTCATTTTTACTTCAAATAACTTCAAATATTACTTTACTGCCACTGAGACACACGTGTTTTTTGTGAACCAGCTTACCCTCTTCAGTTTCTTGGTTTTGTGGTCCACCTCCTGCTGCAGGGAGGAGAATGTCTCTTTCATTTCTAAAGTCTCCTCGTCCTGTAGCATCATCTGCTGCTGGATCTCCCGCTCACTTCTTATCTGTAAAGCATGACAATCACATCTGAAGATCACTGACAATCCAGACTTTTTCAAAACATTTTGCATGAGTTCTGATATTTCACCAGAACCAAACCAGCAGCGCAAAGTTGCATTTTAAAATAAGTATAGCTAGAGAAAAAAATTAATCTTGACATCCCTTGAAACTAAATTCTTYCCTAATGAAGTTTTTGACGATGATCAGAAACAACAGAATTGCAGATGATTTGGTTAAATCTTCAATATAACATTCTTAGTGATCTCATTCATTATTATTCCCACAGAGTGCTGTATCAAGGCACCTCAGTGGGAAGTCTGTGGGAAGGAAAAAGTGTGACAGAAAACGCTGCAC